ATTCTTATCAACGAATTCTTATCATTCTCGTAATTTAGAGAACATAATTAACACTTCAAATGACTAAGACGAAAATTCCAGGTAAATTATCGAGAATCGACCGACAGGAACGTGAGTTCTTCACGTTCCTGGTAACATCAATAAAAAGTTTAGCGCGATTACATTGTCAGATTATGCTTCGTGACCAGAAGTGCGACCAAAAAATAAGCGATATGGTTGTTAGTTTTTAATAATATTATCGTAAAGTTTTGTTGTGCGCCGAGTTATTTTTCTCCTTTTTTATCACACTTCTTGTCACACCGACTGGTATTTCAGCGACAATAAAATATCACCACGTTAATGGCACGATTCAGTGATTATTCGAATAGTTCGTACTCTCATCCGAGATCTGATTCTCATAACTATTAAAATTGCTAAACGTTCAGAAATTAGGCAACGAATCTTTCGAATTGACATCACGGAAAGAAAAACAGACAACAACAAAATTCGATAATTCGCGTCTCAAAGGTTATATAACTTTTTTTTAATATAGAAAATGCACGTTGTCTTTGTTGCAATCGGCGAAAACATCTTAATGATGCAATCTCAAGAGTGAGAAAATTATGGAAAATCAAACTCTGCTCTTTAAATCAACCGTTGAAGCAAACAATGACGTTATTTCATCGCATACAAGAAGGATTACCTTATAAACATCTTTTTGCACATTCTTTCTATTTCTATTTATTTTATTTTCACGCGTATACGTGCATAGTTTCTCAAATCTCTTATTCTTCTTCTTCTTATAATACGGAAGTTTGCGGAGAAAAATTCTACAACATTAATTTTAATTGCAAGCTAGAATACAATGCGCAATACGTTACGCGTGCAGCATATTTTGATGATTCACGGTGAATCTTCCTAATGTTTAAAAAATACTATATTATATAAATATGTTATGTTATATTATATAAATATGTTATGTTATATTTTTCTAACAAAATAATCAATCGAAATTTTTTGTCGCTAAATCACTCAAAACTTATATAATAGATAGTTTTATTGATTTCTACAAAATTTTTTAAATAACGACATATTTTTTAAATATAAAAACATAATCAAGAAATTCGCGTGTCGATCGATATTCGCAAGCAAAATATACGATTTCCAGTTTGCAATGACAGCACGAAATAAAATAGAGCTCGAGAGTACCAATTGACATCACGGAAAGAAAAACAGACAACAACAAAATTCGATAATTCGCGTTTCAAAGGTTATATAACTTTTTTTTTTAATATAGAAAATGCACGTTGTCTTTGTTGCAATCGGCGAAAACATCTTAATGATGCAATCTCAAGAATGAGAAAACTATGGAAAATCAAACTCTGCTCTTTAAATCAACCGTTGAAGCAAACAATGACGTTATTTCATCGCATACAAGAAAGATTACCTTATAAACATCTTTTTGCACATTCAATCGCTTCGCATAGTCGAGAATTATTGAATGCTGCGGAATTTCAACTTCGCAATCGGCACAAAGATCAAGCAAGCGGATCGCGTAAGAAATCCACTGCAAAAGTTAAAGTTTGAAAGCGCCTAGGTAGTAGAACGATGATCGTCAGCGACTTTAATCGCACGATCGATCGCAAAACCGCAAATTGCGTTCGCTATCATATACATATATTTTTTTTAATTATTAGTTTCGAGACATATGTAAATAGCTCGATATCGAAGCAATATCAAAAGCAAAGAAATCTAGTCGCGAGCAGCGTTGCCTTGGACACGGCGAGAGTGCTTTACGAGCTCGTGACAAGGGCGATTCAACGAGAAGGAAGACAACGCTTTTGCGCCTGCACGAGCGAGTACGTACAACGTACGTACATCGCGCGGGAAGAGCGCGTTGCATCCTTCATAATTTCTGGCCTCAAGGATTCCCCGCTCTTTCCGAGTTTTCGTAAGTATTTCACGTACGCGAATCAAGTCGAACCGCGCGTCCGCGACGTGATCCGCGTACGCGAAGACCGCCGCGATTCCGTGAACGCTCGAGCGTGGAGAGAACGACACGACGCTCGCTAAACGAGATTGTAAAAGTGAATTTGGGAGAGAAGAAAAGGACTTGTTATCGCAAAACGGGACTGGCATTACGTCACCAGAGGGCTGACGTCGCGCCAAATAAGAAATCGTCGTCCATCCGATTTTTCAAGACAGATTTCGACAGATTTCGGACGGTACCTCTCGGCGCGAGGATAATTGTCCTCGCTACGATAATCGCGATAATGAGAAAATTTTTGTCGGCTGATATCAAATCTTTGTTTATCGTTGCCATTACACCGCGCGCGTACGATGAAAACTCCTCTGAAATGTTTCGTCCGTCGTTTCGCGGGCGACAAAATATAATCGTAAAGTCAAGTGCCTTTTCCACGAAACGGCGAAATAGTTGTCACGCGGTTGCGACAACATTGTGACGACAACGTGCTTACTTCATCCACGATGCGGTCGTATAACGCCGTCGAGTGTTCGCCGCGTGTATGAACGTGCATCGTTGATGGGTCGTCTGCTTTAGAGACGTTTGTATCAAAGTAAACAATCAATGCGTCACACGTGTGCCGTTTCGTCATCGCAGATCTTCGGTTCTCATTTAAATGATAAATCGAGGCTCAATTCGCGCAGCTTCTCGTTTATTAATTTATCGGCACAATAGTCGTGTATATTTATGTCAGAGCGTCGTTTCGTGCTCGAATCGAACGAATATACTCGGTGTAACTCGATTCTGCTCGAAAACAATGAAATTTGACAATTGACGAAATCGATTATTTATGTAATGATTCGGTCATATGTAGAAATATGTAGGTATACATATTATACACTGAGAAAAAAAATATTTAGATCCAAAAAAATATTTATTTAGATTGCTGCCAAGAGCTTAATTTACTTAATATAATACACATATTTATTTAAAATTAAATATTTTTATTTAAATTAAGTACAAATATCTAATTCTAAATAAATAAAATTAAGTAAGCTCTTGGCAACAATCTAAATAAATATTTTTTTCTCAGTGTACATATATTTTCATATAAATACATTAAAAATATTCATATGTTATATGTATATCAGAAATCAATTTTTGTCATATTTAATCAATAAAAAATTCAATGTTGGTGCTATCACATTTTTAACGGACATATTTTTAGTAAATTATATAATCTGTATATGTTATATAATGTATATATAAAATCGACGCACACATATAATAAAATGTTACGAAGATATGATAATTTTAACTCAATGCTTTACCAATCTAGTTTACTATACCCATTCCGTTAAAAGTCTAATAAAAAACGTCGAGTATTTTGTCGGTCAAGACATTTACGCGACGTTTTTATGTATGAAAAATTTCGGCACAGGTTCCGGCGTGGCGGAGTAACGCGATCGAATTACGCTACAAGGCTTATCTCCGAATCTACCTCGGAACAGCTGGGGTAAAGCATCTGCGGAACGAGAGTCCACGTGACAGGGGGGGAAGCTGTCGCGCGCGACCAGCGACACGCCGCCGCCGCCTCTTGGCGGGCGACCTACGAACGGGAATGCGATCCGCCGCGGCCGGGCCGAGCGACGGCGCCGATCCTCGTTGGCAGCGGTACAAGTGGTACAACGATGCAACATTATAGCCTCCCGAATATCGGGGAACCCGTAAACACGGGGCCAGACGAGCCTCTCCCCCTCGCACGCCTCGTGGCCGGCGCGGCGCGGCGTGGTCGCGATCAGCTGATGCGGCCGGCCGCCACGACGTTATCTCACCTGTTGCGCGCCGCTCCGTCTCTCTCCCTCCCACACCCACTTTCACTCTCACGTTCCTTTTCTTCTTCCCGTTGCGTGATCGATCGGCTCGCCCCGCGCGCCTCCGGGCCGACTCCCCTAGACGACGCGCGAATTGCCCGGCGCGCTCTTCTCGCTCGCGATCACCGCGGACACCCGCGCGTGCCGGTACGCGCACGGAGTAAACCCGCGGATCGGATCCGGGTTAAAAATACACACCGAGGCGCGCGACACCGAGGAGAGGCCCGCTCCTAGTCGCCTGCTCAAGGCGGACGTCTCGGGAATCTGACGCGTGACGCGGCTTCCCGCGCGCGCGGTCTTCCCTGGTCCTCCCTTCGGCTGCATTCCGATATTCACTGTCAGTACTGCAAATCTATATTTTACGTCACGTATACTATAGATTTTCAGTACTGAAAGTTGCTGACAGTGAATTTCGGAATATATGCTTCGCCGCCCGGCCAGGGACGGAGCTAGAACCCACGATGCGCGAAGGGCAGCTGCTAATATCGGAGTGGCTAATATCGGAATTAATAGCCGCGGAAATAGATCGAATATATCAACTTGCCTTATCTTCGCCGCTCGCGCGGATTATCTAGCATCTGTTCGCGATTTGTCGCGCGGACATCTGACGTTTTCAAGATTTAAAAGGGATAAGAATAACACGGGACGTATTGCTTCTTTTAATAATCAGAATGTTTGAAAAGTCCTATCTAATTATATTTAAATATTGTGAAATATAACATTGATTGTGGCACGTGTACCTGATGACGACGATGCTCGTGCATGTAACAATCCGTACCCTCGGCGTACTTCAAACGGCTAATTGGCGACGAGAGAGAGAGAGAGAGAGAGAGATCCGTGAGGAAGGTCCGGTTTTCGGGCGTGCCAGAAAGGGCTCGCGAGATTAGCGTGCAGTCGCGCGCAGTTGCACCGTGAGCGCGACAACGACCGTGGCACGGGAGTAATTTTTCCGCGCGCGCGAGACTCGCTCTTATGGACAACGACAATCGCGCGAGAAACACGAAGCGACTCGAATACGTCGTGACGCACTCGTGACTGGCCGCGATAATGTAATCTATCGAGAAACTCGATTCTCGAGGTCTCGAGGTATCGAGAAACGAACGTTCGATCGTCGGGCACGCGCGAGCCAATCAGCCAATCACCGCGAGGCGCGGGTCGCGCACGTGCCACGTGCGCGAGAATGCGGGATCACGTGGTCGCACACGGTAAACAGGTTAGAAACGCTTCCGGCGCGTACACGTGAGATCGCGAATTTTGTAGCCCTCTTTTCGTTATAATCTATAGTTATTCGAGCGTTTGTAGTTTTGTGGATACTCTCGGATAGCAACACGAGGGATTTTTCGTAAATTTAAGACTGAAGGACACTCGGCGTTGAAATTAGATTGAGGTTAGGGTAAGATTGAGTTTCTACATACTTGGAGGCAAAAATAAAAATTAATTCTTTTGTGAGGTTTTTGGTTTTTTGTTTTAAACCAAAAATGCTAGAAATCAAGGATAGACTGTCACGAAAGAAATGGAACGTATTGTTTGAAGACCTGGAGTCCTCCTTGCATCTAACGTGTTGTTTATCTCTCACAGATCCGTTCAAAGATGAAACGATCAGCAAAGAGTTTGGATACTGGTGACGCGGGAGCAGAGGATAATGTGGACGCAGAGGACAGTAAAAAGAAAAAGAAAGTGAGATTCGAGAAATCCTTGGATAAATCTACAGGTAAGAAACGAAAAAGAAAACCGCAGTTTGGACACAGTGTGTGTGACATCATATATAAAAATAAAATATGTTCTCTAGGTAAGAATGTACAACCACCTTTCATAAAGAAGAATTCGAAAGGAAAAAATTTGAAAGTGGCAAAGAATAATTCTAAAATTGAAAAGATAAATTTGCTCAAACTGAAGAAGGAGAAAAAGGAGTTTGGACGAAAGTCCGAAGCTCAGAAGAAAGATAACTCGAAGACAGATAATCTGAAATCGGAGAAGAAAGCGACCACCGAAAAAACCGATTGGGTCCAATTGAAAAAGGAGAAGAAGGAACTCAAACAGAAGCGCAAAGCTAAAAGGTTGAACGACGACGTAGTGTTTGACAAGGTTATTCAGGCTAAGCAGATCGGCGAGAAGTTACGAAGATCCGATTGCAAGTCCGTGAATCGTGTAACATTAACTCAGACGTTGCACAACATGCTGGAAAATCATTATAGCAAGGTGATATTTACGCACGATATGTCCAGAGTAGTTCAGTGTATGATCAAGTACTGCGAGGAACACATTCGACAAGCTATATGCCACGAGATAAAGCCACTCGTTGTGGAGATGTTACAGTCGAAATATGCGAAGAACTGCGTAAAAGCTATCTTAAAGTACGGCTCGCAAGAAATCAGATCTGAGGTTATCTCTGGATTTTATGGCAACATTGTCAAACTAATGAGTCACAGTGTATCGGCCTCTCTTGTGGAACATACGTACCGTACTTGGTGTACTAATCTCGACAAAATATATTTCAAACAGGAGTTTTACGGGGACATTTATAAATTGGAAAAGGACAAGGACGTTAAATCGCTGTCGGACGTATTCAAAATTGCGACGGATATGAAGCTAGCCACGCTGTCTGCTATAAAAACAAATCTAGTCAGAATCTTGAACAAAGGCTTCGTCGATTCCACTCTACTGCAAACGGTTCTATGGGAATTCCTCTGCGTATGTTCGGTGGAAGATAGGAGCGAGTTAATAGTTATGCTGCGCTCTTACATTATAACGCTGTGCCAAACAAAAATGGGAGCGAGAGTCGCTACGCAATGTATATGGCATGGCACTAGCAAAGATAGAAAAATAATTATGAAAGCCCTTAAGGGAAATGTAAAAGCGATTTGTATGTCCAAAAACGGTCATATGATATTATTGGCGCTCTTTGATTCCGTAGACGACACCGTTCTCGTGCAGAAGATAATATTGTCCGAGCTACAAGAGGATCTAGTTAATATTGCGCTGAACGAGTATGGAAAACACGTTATATTATACCTCGTGGCCAGGAGAAAACCTTTTTATTTTTCGCCGGACGTAGTGGAATATTTGCGCCAAGGTGATGGCAATTCCGCGAGCAAGAAACTAGCCGACATTAGGGAAAAGGAACTCCTCGAAGCAATCCGCGACACGCTTTTTGACGCAATAATCGCGGATACCGCAGTGTGGTTATCCACCGGCAGCATAGCTATGACTACCCTGGCGATACTGAAAGTAGGATCGGGAGAAAAACTAAATTCCGCGTTCGAATCGATTGCTAAGTTTCTTACCAACATAGATTCAAAAATCAAAGACAATGATACCGAGTATAATGTGGTTGAACATCCTGGATTACACACAATGTTAAAGAAACTTATTCAGAATGACAAAGAACTGATAGAAAAGAACGAATCTACATTTGGAGAAATTTTAATACCGTACTTGACACCGAAAGTGTTGGAAAAGTGGACGGAATTTAATAGAGCTTGCTTCTTATTAATTCTTCTTATAGAAAATGGACTTCAAAATGTTAAAGATACATTGCTATCCAAATTAAAACCTTTAACGGCAAATCTCAAGACAAAGCGCGGCGCTGGAGCATCGATATTGTTAAAAAAATTAAAAGAATAAATGTAAATATATATGAATGTAATGTAGGTATATTATTCACGATTCTTATCCTTTTTTAATATAGACTGCTCCATTTTCACCGGAAATAGTTAAAAGAGGGATCTTAATTCAATTTCAAACTTTCTTATATACTTTTAATATAACAAACTATATACTTTTAATATGTACTTTCAAGATTTCAAATAAAAGTTAATTCAGTAAAAGCGGATCAACCTATAGAGGCCCTCCACTACTCTCGCCGATTACAATCAGTGGTCCCTTTTTGTTTATATTATATATATTTCAAATTATTTATTATTTTATGTACAACATATATATATATGGAGGGCTAATCTAGACAATATATAAATTGCATCTATGCACACGAGTCAATATTTAAAAAATTTTGACTTACGCGCCCCACTATGGCTCTTACCCCTCCATATATAAAATTTATAGTTGAAAATATATTTTCTTATATTATTGAGATACATTTAACAATAAAACCTCTTACATCCTTTTTTATGAGTGGATTGGTGTTATGCGCCAACTTATCTTGATTCTCTTCGTCTTCTCTCTTCGCTTCGTTTCCTGCGCGGGCAATTGAACATGATAAGAGGTGTCACCACGCGCCCCGTTCTTAGATTCGCGTTCATATATTTTTCTGATTTTAACAATAAATGCTATACGCTTGCCCTTATATTATATAACAGTCGCTCTTTCGCATTATGATGCAAATTAAATAAACATGTTGAAAGGCGGCAGTGTGATCTAGTGGTAGAGCACCAGACTCGTAATCTGAGGAACCAGGTTCGAGTCCACTAGAGCCATGGAATGTTTTTTCGAAAGCTGCGCCCCTCCGTGCAAGATTGAGGCCCTTGTGCGGAGAAAACTGGGCTCCGTCTTTCGGAAGGAGACGTTAAGCCGTTGGTCCAAAGGGTTAAAGTGAGAAGAGAAGGATAGTAAATTTACAAAGGCATAATAAATTTACGAACAAGTTGTTTTAAATTACATTTTATTATTGAGTATAATACTATATTAGGCACATCTACGTTTAACATATTATTAAATAAACACGCAACCATAGCTATCAATCTTTTGTTATCGTCGCTCCGAGATCGCCAGCGTCAACGACGATACGCAACACCTCAACGTGTGCGAAGGATAAACTCGATCCGGGATATTAAGTGCACACGTATGTAGTTAGTTAAATTTTAAGCATTTCTTTAATATCAATTACTCTGGTCCGTATTTCCGGTTGGTTATCCTTCGCTAGATCGGGCAAAAGTTCTTTCAAGAGGCGCGTTATTTTATCAAGTTGTTCATCATTGTTCGTCTCGCGCATTTTTCTTGCTAACGAAAGAACTATATTTAATGCTTCTTTTCTGATTTTGGTGAATTTCGAAATATCTGCAAAGAAACAACGTATTTAAAAATAACGCAATCATAAAAATTCCAAGCGTTTAAATTATTTTAATATAGCATTATAATGTTAATAGCATTAGTATATTTATTTACATCGCATAGTTTATATTATATATACATGTATATACTTACTTATACAATATGACAATATTTTGTTGAGACTATCACCTATTTGATCTAATAGTTTTTTGTCTTTCAATGACATTTCCATTTTATTTATTTTTAATAAGACAAGTCTATCCACAAAGAGATTTAATGCTGTCAAGATAGCGACTTGGACAGATCTCGTACTATTTGGCAGTACTTTTTGACAGTGAGTCACGAATTCTAAGCAATATTTATCTGCAATCAAGAGTCAATTTATAAAGATACAGAATGTTACAAAAATGCATACTCGTATTTTTCACTGAGTGAAATTCATGTAATTTTATAACCTTGGGTCTCTTTGGTGGAAGGCCATGCTTTCCCAAGCACCTCGTAAACCGTTTCTTGCAACTTTATATTATTTTCCTTTTTCTTCCTATTTTCTTCCACAGAATCCTCTTCATCATCGTTATTTTTATCTGATACCTGTATATAATAAAGTATGTACAAATATCGTATTTACATTTGCAATTATTCTTTTATGATATTGCTGTCGATGTATCTTACCTTAATCAATATTTCCTGTACAATTTCATACGTTTCCGTAAATCTATCAATATCAAGTTCATGCAAAACCATAGCAAACGCTTGTAACCCGTGTCGACGATAATCCACATTCTCTTTCTTACTTTCCCTATGTAGTGTTACTACAACTGTATCTAACAACGCAGTATCTGCGTTTAAGGCTTCTCTGCAATAAGATCCGAATCGTGAATTTTAACGAGTATTAATTAAATCGTTTATAGCGTAAAGTTTCAAATCAATATCTGACATACTTGCTATTGCATGCTAAAGTAGCAAGAGCGTTCAGTAAACGTTCCTTTCCATTCCACGTTCTACCACGCAGACCATTAATCAGTATCTTTAATAAGGTATGCCTGGCTTCTGTATCAATATTATGACCTGATTTTAAGGCAACGGTATGAACTGCGTTTGCCGCTTGCACTTTTGTAGTCCACGATGCCGACTCCAAAGTCGTACGTAAAATATCGGTTATTGGTCGCAGATTTTGCACAATTCCTGCTTCAGTCCCAGGCGTTATTTCGTTCCAAAAATCAGTCCATAATTCAACAGTGCTTTCGTTTCCTAGTAAATAAAAGTATGTATAGAAAATACACGAAATTAAAGTGCGAAACACATTTATGAGTGAACGAATTATATAGATACTGGAATACATACCTGGTACTTTTTCCGCGTGCATCGCAAAGAAGGCAAGAGGAATGACTATTTTTTGATAATTCTTTAATTTCTCCTGATTATAATTATTTATAGACTGCAAAGTTTGCCCGATCGCTAATCTTATTGCATCATCTGTAATTTATATTTTGGCATCAAACGAAATTATAGGATGTTATGACAAGAATATAGAATACTACTGTTAGACACCATATGTACCTTCACGTTCCAAATACCACGTGTTCAAGGTATTAAATAACTTATCCAGACTAGAATCTTTAGCCGAGCCGACTACATGCCCAATGCTAACCGCATTATTTTTTCTTACGGCAACATTACGATCCAACAAACCATTGAGCAAGGCAGATAACACCTTAGCTGAATAAAATAGCGTGGTTAATTTATGTTACAAAAATTCTCAAAAATATCATTGAATTATGACATAAACAATATTTTAAATATATAACTCCGTAGAGTAAAAAGATGTAGTTTGTATTCTCTTGAAATTGAGATGTTTACTAACCACTGTAAGGCTGCAACTCTGTTTTCAAATGCGTACTGAGAAGAATCACGAAATGCGAACAAGCAATTTTTGTTCCAAATCCTACGCTGCACTTGATTAAATCTATTACTTTTGGCATTAAATCCTTTAATACATCGGCATCGACATATTGGATACACTGTAGGAAAACATTAAAAACAAAGAATTAAGAAATACTCAATCGAGTTCACTTCCAACTCGTCTATGAGAACGAAAGTACCTTTGTTATCGTATCTGACGCGTAATGACCTTTGGCAACATTCGCTCTAAGATTATCGATAGCTTCCTGAGTCTCCGTAGTCGCGCCGCACACATTACTCAAATACGAAAGCTTGGGATTCTCTGATTCACCGATCGTTTCCAATAACGACGGTATCAGATTGATGAGCGACGGTTTTAATAAAACGCCGGCCGTGGATACGAGTTGCGATACCGTTTGCAATGATATAGCTCTCACTGAATCCACGAGGTGAGTAATGCCAGTGTCAAGTAGCACAGGCAATATCGCTTGAATAACTTCTTTCCCCGCATTACCATGTGACGAATCGCAATGACGTATACAAACCTATGCGATTAACATAGCAATAATTAATCATAGATTATCATAAGTCACAGAAACTTATATCTCGCGTCTTACCTTACTAAGTATCTTAGTAGTGTTCGTCGCGGCTATCCGCGTACCCTCGTGAATATCGTCCATTACGCGAAACAGTTTCTTCCAGAGTTCCGGGCCACATTCGGCGAGGTTTAATTGGACATTTGTCCTTAAAAGATCTGCGAGAGCATTACAACAACTGATACGTACTCTCCACTCGTTATTCGTTAGATTATCAGTTACATCAGTCAATATTTCTTTATGATACTGTTCGATCTATGGAGATATATAAAAAACAAATTTTTACTCTTATAATATTATGCACATATAAAACGTTGTTAAAAGATATCAAGTAATGTTACTAACAGCTTTTGTTGTGGAAGGAACGACGGCCCGCCAAATGCTGGTCATACTTTGCTGAATCTTTGGCGTCGGGTCAAATTGATATCTATACAATCGTGGTATAATGTTAGGTAGATATTTATTCAGTTCGTCCTTCGCGATATTAGCGATTGCCGCAAAACCGAACGCAGCCCCCTTTTTGGATGTCCATATCGCATTATGATTTGCCAAATGCATGAAGTAATACACAAGCTCGGGTTTCTGTAATTCTGTTGCGAGGGAACAGATTTCTCGGTACGTTGAAATATTACCACTAAAAAATTATTTCTTTAAGTATCTAATATCCTTTCGTTATTAATGTAGCGTAATGTTCAATAATCATCGTCAGATATTTTCCATCTTAAACTGTAAGCTAACGCAAAACATTCTGTATTTTAATCTTACCCAGATGGACTTTTTCCCAGTTGACCTTCTTCAAATAACTTGGTATCAGCGGTAACTTGTTGCACTGTTCTGCGACCCTGAGTAAACTGATCTAATATATTGGACACTAAAGCCTCGCGTTCTTCTTGTTTGCTGTTAATATGTACCAAACTAAGGCCTTTTGAAGCAATATCTTGCACTATATCTGTTACAAGATAAAAGATCAAATCTCTTTCTCCATTCAAAGATGATAAAATTCATTGATACAATCAATAATTTATATCTCTTACCACTGTCATCTGAAAGAAAATCTATAAATGCATGATGAATCGTGGACAATCTCTCCTTAATGCATTCTCGTTGAACGTTGTGCTTCAATAGCGCGAATAGCCATACA